GAATTCAGATATGGAGCTTTAATAAGTTGTACTTATGCACAATTTACTTGTAATCTTAAGTTTTAAGTAATATACATTAATAAACAGTACTTTACACATAAAAAATGGTTTTTAAGAGTTTTTGTTAAATGATTTATAATATAGAATATATATTTTTTATATAATTTAATTTAAGTTTAATAATAAAATAATTTATTTTTGGTTTAATATTATAAATTTTATAACGATAATAATTAAGTATTCTGTTAGAATTTAATGATTATACTAATTATATTTTAGATTTTTTATATTTAAAATGAGATGTTTATCCTCTATTTGATTGTGTTTATCTGCAGTTAGTTACACGAATTCAGACATGTGATGAAATCGGATAGGGATGAACGTGTTTAAGAGTTTTTAATAGCTTTAGCCGAATGCTTTATAATATAGTATAAATAATTTAATTTAAGTTTAATAAAGAAATAATTTATTTTTGATATAATAATATAAATTTTATAAAGATAATAATTAAGTATTCTGTTAGACTCAATGATTATCTTAATTATATTTTAGATTTTTTATATTTAAAATGAGATGTTTATCTTGTATTTGATTATGTTTATCTGCAGTTAGTTACACGAATTCAGATATGAAGTTTTAATAAATTGTACTTACGCGCAATCTACTTGCAATCTTGAGTTTTAAGTAATATGCATTAATAAACGGTACTTTACGTATAAAAAGTGGTTTTTAAGAGTTTTTGTCAAATGTTTTATAATAAAATATAGATATTACTTAAAATTCAATATTACAAATAATTTTGCATAAGTATAACTTATAAAAGCTTCATTTTTAAATTCGTGTAACTAACTGCAGATAAACATAATCAAATACAAGATAAAGATTCATTTTAAATATAGAAAATCTAAACTATAATTAAGATAATCATTGAGTTCTAAAAGAATGTTTAATTATTATCTTTATAAAAAAAATTATATTGTTAAACCAAAACTAAATTACTTTGTTATTATATTTAAATTAGCGTATAATAAAAAATTGAATTATGAAAGTTACACCGAAAAACGATAATTACTAAATAGTTAATTTGATATTATCAATTTACTTTTTACAAATTTTTATGTTATTTTGAAATTTATATTTCATTCAAAAATGAAATATTATTGTTTTTTTTTAAACCATATAAAATCGTATTATATCAATAATGAAGAATAAAAACGAAACAATTAAATGAAGATTTATCTCGTTACATTGCACGAGTGCCATTCTAATAAATTAATAAACATACGTGCAAACGATAGCATCATATAAGTATTAAATAAATAAAACGAAATTTATTAAAAACATGACACGTAAGAAGATTATAGTCTTTTACTTTTTTTCTCCTACTTTAATTTAAGATGGCCAATTTCTATACCAGCCAGCCCATGCAGAAACCAGCCCACTAAGCCCAAGTGTTACAGCATGATTACAAAATGGATTGGGCTCAATATCAGCCAGCCCAATAATCAAATCAGCCAAATTAGCAGACACAGCCATTAATCTCATCACTCTATCAACCTTAATCTTCTTAATTTCATCACCTTTTTCCTTTGATTCTGATAATAAACTCCTCTTAATCCTTCTTTCTTCTTCAATCCCTTCTTTGATCATAATAAACTCCATAACACAAAAAAACACATATCCAAGCGATTCCCCGAACGCTGATATATAGCTCATTCTCCGAGCCAGATTTGCATCCAGAACCCCGGTTCGTGATAACCATAGGAAATGGTCAAAGAAGAAATAAACCATTTCCCCTGCGTTGGCAAAGACAGATAGGAACCTATACGTAGGAGTCGGGCCTGGGTTTCTCCTAAGTGCATTAAACCCTGTGAGAAACCTTCCGGTCCTAAAGGCTTTCCGACTGAGCCCTGATGCCACCTCGCACTGTTTGGCTCGATGGGCTGCGGTGGGATTGGTGGTTTCAAGGTGCCAAACAAGTAGCTTGGAGACATATTGGAAGGTCTTGACAAGCTTATCAATACCATCCCTTTTTGCCAAGAAGATAACAAGCTTGTCTACTTTATCATTCATGGTGTGGTGTGAGGTGTGAGGTGTAAGGGCAAGAACATGAGTGATTTGTGTAACAAATAATGGGTGGGGGTGGGAGGGAGAGCCACAAGTTAGGGGTAGTTTTGGATAAAATTAAATTATTTATGGATGGACAATATTATTTTCATATTATCCTACAAAACAATTTTGTCTTTTATGTATATTCTAAGAAATATTGAACAGCAATCACAAGAATGGTGCCTGATTGGTTTGAGCTTGACTCCAAAGGTCAAAAGTATCAGGAGGTCACATATTCAAATCCAATGAGAAATAGAAATCCCCTTGTGGCCACGAAGATTCAAATGCGGTGACTCCGGACTATCTGCAAAGAAGGTGGTCGTCATGAGATTCTCGTATAGCTGATTGGATATTCAGGTTAATAAAAAAAATATTGAATAGCAAATTAAATAAAAATGAAATAAATTGTAGCCATATTGTGCAAAATATTGTGCCAATTTTTTTGTTTTATTTGTGGTTCATCATTTTCAAGCATTAAAATAGGCAAAATAGCTGCCTTAAAAGTGATCAACCAATCAAGACCATGTCATTGTTTAAACTTAAATCCATTTTCGAGATAGTTGCAATCATCTCACTAATGTTATTTTTTCTTATTGAACGATCTTTTAGTGATGATAGGATTGTAACTTTGTATCTTGATTTACGTTATTAGGGGTGGAAATGATGCGAGTCGGGCTCGAGTATCACTATACTCGACTCAAAAACCCGTGAGTAGTAAAAATCAAAGCTCGATTCGAACTAGATAACTATTTCTCAAGTTCGAGCTCGAAACAAGCTCGAACTCGAATCAAACTCAAACCAAGCTCACACATTGAAATTTATGGAATTTTAGGGGTTTTCTTTTACAAATTTCAATAAAGATATTCTCTTAGTTTTTATAAAACTAAAGGATCAATTTCAAACTTCATCATCAAAAAAACAAAGATAGAAATTCCATTCACCACCTTCTTTTTTTATAACATTTTTTTCTCCCCTCCTTTACCATCTCTCTTCCAATGTGGAACAATTTAACTAACATTTTTTTTATAGTTTTCCTTTGTCTTTTTTTTTAATTGTGATTTTTTATAAAAAAATAATTGATTTAAGTTTTATAATTAAAAATGCATAATTTTATTTAAATATCTAAAAATATAAGACATTTTTTTTATTTATATTTTACAAATTTTATCATAAAAACCGATTATATTTTAAAATAAATTATATATAAAATAATCGAATATCTCACGAGCTTTTCGAGTCGAGTATTGGGTAGCTTGACTCGACTTGTGAATATATCGAGTCGAGCTCGAGCTTGAGTTCGAGCTGAGCCTATTCGAATCGAGTGTTGACCGAGTCAATCTCGAGTAGATTGCGAGTTGTCTCGTATCATTTACATCCCTACACGTTACCGTCGTTGTCGTCCTCATCATCATCATCGAGCATGCATTTAACACCTATCGAGCATCATAAAAAAAATGTAATAAAGATCTAAAAATAATCGAAGTATGAAGAAAACCCTATCTGTAATTATATATATATACATATATATATAGGGGGCTAATCAAATGAGAACTAATTAGTTTGTGGTAACTGTAAGAACCAATATTAACCACAAATCAATAGATAAATTAGAAAATTTATAATTTTGGCAATTTTAAATTAAAATATTAATGCAAGGATATTTTTGGTATTTTAAAACTTTCCYCCCTCCTCTCTTCTCTCTCCGGCCACCGTCCGCCGGCCACCGTCCTCGGATGATACTACAATGGTATCACAATGCATCATATATGTGTTTGGGTATCATATTGATGTCGTTTGTGTGCTAGATCGAGGATGTAACACAGTGGTATCACTATGCATCTTATATATAATTAGGTATCACAATGTATCTTTTGTTTAACAGAGTCAATATTTTAGGTATCACAGTGGTATCATAGTGGTATCACCGGAGGACGGTGGCCGGAGAGAGAAGAGAAGAGAGAGGAGAGTTTTAAAATACCAAAAATATCCTTGCATTAAGATTTTAATTTAAAATTATTAAATTTATAAATTTCCTAATTTATCTATTGATTTGTGGTTAATATTGGTTCTCACAGTTACCACAAACAACTCAGTTCTCCCTTGAATAGACCCATATATATATATATATATATATATAGAGGTTGGTTATTATACAACCCTCGACATTTGTGCAACCAATACAACCCAATCTCAACCGTCCATTTCATTTGATGAATATGTGATTTCATAGAAGTTTTGATTGTTTCCTAATATAAAGTATTAATCATAATTAATAAACTCTATTCATATTTCATAAATATTCAAATCATAATAAATGAACTCCCATCATTTCTATAAATATCTTAATTAATTGGGTTGCAAGGGTTGTACAAATACACAAGGTTGTAAAAGAAATATACCCTATATATATATATATATATATATATATATATATATATACACACTACGTGCCTCCAAAGATGATGAATGGTCCATGAAATTAGGGGTGTAAATGATTCGGTTAAAACTCGGTCAACACTCGATTTGAATAAGCTCAGTTCAAAATCGAACTCGACTCTAGATATTAACGAGTCGAGTCGAGCTACCCAATACTCGACTCGAAAAGCTCGTGAGATACTCGATTTTTATATATAATTAGTTTTAAAAATATAATCAGTTTTACAATATACTATGTATAATATAATGTAATAAAAGTGCCTTATACTTTTAAATATTTGAACAATATTATGCATTTTTAATTATAAAAATTACATCAATAATTTTTTTATTAAAATCATAATTAAAAATATAATAATAACTATAGAAGTGTTGGTGAAGTACTCCCGTGTATGAAGATAGATTACAAAAGAATGATGGAAAGTTGTTGTAGAAAAGAGAGGAAGGTTAATGAAATTTATATCTTTGTCTTTTTTATAATGAAAGTTTGAGATGCATCTCTTTAGTTTATAAAATTTTAAGAGAACAACTGTAAGTTCTATGTTTTTGTAAGAGAAGACCCTAAAATTTCATAAATTTCGACAGGTGAACTTGATTTGAGTTCGAGTTTCAAACAAGTTCGAGTTTAAAAAATACAATCGAGTTTAGTTTTTAACGACTCGTGAATTTTCGAGTTTGAAAAGCGAGTTTGGAGGTCTTCAAATCGTCATGAAAACTTGCCTCCAATATTTAACCCACGTTGAAACTCGCATCAAAGGTTTAAATATTAGACACGTCGTTTTGTTTTCAGGTGATAAAATATGAAAATAGCATAAATGGGTATTTTAGTCGTTTTTTAGTATAATTCCAAATTTATATTCAAATTAATGGAAGAAAAGAAAATCATATATCAAAATAGGAAGAAAAAAAATCAGAAAAATCCAATAAACTCATTTTGAATGATTAAGTATTTGAATTTTTTTAAATGTACAAATTGTTAAACTTTCTCATTTTGAATGATTAAATCCTTAAATATTTTTTTTTAATAAATAAATCATCAAACTTTTAGAAATTGATTATATACTACATTTTTTAATATAAAAAAAAACTACATATAATCGGGTTTCACGTCAAGAGTCAGTCTTATAGTTTTGGGTCAAGACCAGGATAGAGACTCGTTGGCCCAGTTACAAACCAACTTCCATTTATTTGAACCCAACTCAAAACGATACATGTTTTTAACCCTCTCTAAAGTCTGGAGTCTAAACTAGAGTAATCAGTTTGGGCCCATCGTGGGCTGCTAAAGGAATCGAGGTGGCCCAATACTTGTTAATTTTGTTGAACATATTATTTGACATTTTAAATTGTAAGTTATTACATAAAAGCTCAACTACTCGAACCAAATCTAAGTGGATCAGGTTTTGATGTATTTGTTTCTTACTTTGGTGGATTATATGTTTTCACAAGAATTTGTATGCGATCCAAGTCAGAGAAAGTCCGAATAGAACTTGATATTAATTATGTTAAAGACATATATGCCCTTATATGCAGAAAAAAAAATGTGTTTTTCATTGCAATCGGGTCATTCGGATATTTTTACAACCGTTTCAGTTAACTTTTAACCTTCAAACTCTTCAGTTTCCTGGAAGACTTTTTACTTTTTTTAATCTTGTAATTCATCCACAATGTGTAACCATTTTACTCTCTTCATCCCTCAATTTCTTCATTTTGATTTAGGTTTATTTATCTTCTCCGTCTCTTAACATTTTCTATTTCGTTTTTTGTTTGTTTTTTTTCTTATCGATCTCCCCATTTCTCAATCTATGTTTCTCTCTATTGTTTCCTTAACATTTATCTCCACTGACAAAGAGAAGTATACACATCGGTTTAATCAAGTGAAGTGATACAACTCAAAGTTTGTTCATCTATGGCAGAAAGGTATACACGAGTTTATCAATATACATATGTATGTATGTATGTATATATATATATATATATATATGTGTGTGTGTGTGTGTGTGTGTATATAGACATTATAACATGGATTAAAGAGATTTTAGAATTTTGTGAGAATTTCGATTTACTTTTTTCTTTTTGTTGTACATGTTCTCCTATTTTTTATAGTTTCTAAATTAGTAATTTTATAAGAAAATACAATAAAAATAACGTAACATTTTTTAAGCATCTCAATCCCATCAAATTTTGGTTTTTTTTATTGATATAATTATCATCAGAACATCAAATTGATTAGATTATTTATCTTTGTTTGTTACACCTAATTTTTATTTCACATGACTCTATTTTTTATTTATATAAGAATTATTGAGTATATGTACACACACACACACACACACGAGACTTTAATATAATAATATGTATATTTTTATTTAAATTTTTCTCAACTTTTATCTTTTTTATTGATATAATTTTTAGCAAACATTAAAT